TAGTCCCAAAACTAATATAAAAGTGTATAATAAAGCCCAATAATGTCCAAAACAGAATATAATATAGCATGGAACAATCAAAAATTATAGATACGTTGGAGACGTATCAACCACCGGCACATACCCAAAGGAAGGTCGCACCTCCATTCGCACCTCGCTGTTGAACGCTAACCACGATCACCAAAGTTGCCGCAACCGCACTGACGACCCTTGCAACCGCCGAGCTCCCACCATGGCGCCAACATACCCATAGAAGAGCAGATCCCCGACCAGGGGTAGCAACCGCTGCCCGACGAGGATCCCCACACAACCCGCAGCACGCGCACGACCCTCCTGGCGACGCCCTCCGCCCCTTGCGCCCTGCCACAAGGCGACAACCGCCACCAGTAGATCCACCCATTGCAGGACCCACCTCGCACTAGCCGCGCACAACCCTCGCCACCGCTTTGAGGAGTTAGAGCATCTCCAACTGCCCCCCAGGCGCCTTTTTTCCGCCGGGCGAACAAAAATCTCCTAGTCGCGCCCCCAGATCCTCGTTTTTCGCTGGTTTGGGCCGAAATTACATCCGGCGAACCCAAGCCGAACCCAGCGCCCTGGGGGCACCGACTGAAGTGAAAAGGCGCGTGGACCCGCACTGTCGGTGACACCGGCTGATTTTCTTGCTGTTTTTTGCTTCCCCCCTTTCCTCCCCACCAACCCTCATCTCCCCTGCAGCTCCCGCCATTCTCCCAAGATCCGCCCGCCATGCCGTGGAAGAAGTACGTGGCCCCTTGTCTAACGACCGATCCTACCCAGCCAAAGCTGAGGAAGCCGAGGGCGCCGATGCCAAGGCTCCCGGGCTTGATGAACACCCAGTGGAAGGCCGACGTTGATCGCCGACCGACGGTCACCAACAATCGGCAAAACAGGCTCAACATCAATAAGGCCAGGGACGCGACGTCGGAGTAGGAGGAGGCGTCTCGTGCGGCCTTGGGAACGAGCGCCAGCTCCTTCCGCCTCAACAGGCAGGCCGGTACCCACAAGGCACGTGTGGTAGCTAGTAGAGTGTCGCGTCGCCGGCCAACTTCTCACCGCCAGTGTGGGGGTACTCGTCCTCGCCTGACTACGCCGACGATGATGCGCTCGACGGCTTCAACCCCAACAACACCTTCCTGCATTGCTCTGCACCGCGCGCCCCCTCCGTCTTCATCAGCCCCGACTCACGCACGCCCTTCGCGTTCACCGCTGGCCTCAACACCCAGTACGGCTACTCACCGACGTACTCAAGCTTGCCTGCACCGACTCTGCGCCGTGGACCCCTACCCTTTGCACCAAGCTTGGCGCCACAGTTCAGCAGCACCGACGCCGAGATGAAAGAGATCATCACGAACGGCTCAACCGCCGCCGCTTTGTGCCCCAGGTTCTGCACACAATACAATATGCTAGACACCGCTGGCGAGATGGAGGACGTCGAGCAAGATGATGTCGAGGAGGAGGTGGAAGAGGAGAACCGGCGGAGCCAGCGGCCAAAGGGAGAAGGTGAAGGAAATATGCCCTAGAGGCAATAATAAAGTTGTTATTTTATATTTCCTTATATCATGATAAATGTTTATTATCCATGCTAGAATTGTATTAACCGGAAACTTGATATATGTGTGGATACATAGACAAAACACCGTGTCCCTAGTAAGCCTCTACTAGACTAACTCGTTAATCAAAGATGGTTAAGTTTCCTAACCATAGACATGTGTTGTCATTTGATGAATGGGATCACATCATTAGGAGAATAATGTGATGGACAAGACCCATCCATTAGCTTAGCATGTTGATCGTTCAGTTTTATTGCTGTTGCTTTCTTCATGTCAAATACATATTTCTTGGATTATGAGATTATGCAACTCCCGGGTACCGAAGGAATACCTTGTGTGCTATCAAACGTCACAACGTAACTGGGTGATTATAAAGATACTCTATAGGTATATCCGAAGGTGTTTGTTGGGTTGGCATAGATCAAGATTAGGATTTGTCACTCTGAGTATCGGAGAGGTATCTCTGGGCCCTCTCGGCAATGCACATCATAATAAGCCTTGCAAGCAATATGACTAATGAGTTAGTTTTGGGATGATGCATTACAGAACGAGTAAATAGATACTTGCCGGTGACGAGATTGAACTAGGTATGAAGATACCGACGATTGAATCTCAGGCAAGTAACATACGGATGACAAAGGGAGTAACATATGTTGTCATAACGGTTTGACCGATAAAGATCTTCGTAGAATATGTATGAACCAATATGAGCATCCAGGTTCCGCTATTGGTTATTGACCGGAGAGATGTCTCGGTCATGTCTACATAGTTCTCGAACCCGTAGAGTCCGCACGCTTAACATTCGATGAGAACTTTGTATTATATGAGTTATTTGATTAGGTGACCGAATGTTGTTCAGAGTCCCGAATGAGATCACGGACATGACAAGGAGTTTCGAAATGGTCGAGAGGTAAAGATTTATATATAGGACGATAGTATTCGGACACCGAAAGTGTTCTGGGGGTATCGGGTATGTATCGGGTCATCGAAAGGGGTTCCGGGCAACCCCCGGCAAGCTATATGGGCCTAATGGGCCGAGAGGGGAAACACACCAGCCACAAAGGGGCTGGTGCGCCCCCCATATGAGCCGGCCAAATTGGAGAAGGAAAGGGGAAGAAGGAAAGGAAAAAGGCAATAGGATTCCTCCTTCCCCGTCTTCCCTTCCTACTCCGAATAGGAATAGGAAAGAGGGGAGCCGAATTGGGAGGACCCCAAGTAGGATTCCTCCTACTTGGGGTGCCCCTTGGCTGCCTCTCCC